AGGGTGATTGTGCTTATTATAACAATCATAAATAACTTTGCCTTCAGCTGATTGGAGATCATTGTAACTAAGAAAGTCAATGAAAGAAATACTTAAATGTAAATGTTAAAAAAAGAAAAAAAAGGATTGAGAAATAGAGAGAGAAAGGAAATGGAATCGCATAACAATGATAAAAAAGAATTAGAGAAGTGATAACAAGAATAAAGGAAAGAAATGAAAAAAATATATACACACATAAAGAAATGTGAGAGCAAGAAGGAAAGAATATAAAAAATATATTAAATAATTTATCACTATGCATAACAAACGAAAAAAAAAAAAAATCAAGATAATTTCGAACAAACATTTGCACTTTTTGTCATTCACCTTGCACAGAAATTCATGTCAAGAATTCACTGACACACATCAAGTTTCAAATATAGAAATATAACAACGAGACTTTTTTTTTCACGCATTGTCGACTCTTAATAATAATATTCCAGAATTCATATGATATCTATCTATCTATCTATCTATCTATTATCTAATCTATCTAATCTATCTATATCTCTATCTAATATATTATATATATATATATATATATATATATTATATATATATATATATATTTTTTTTTTTTTTTTTTTTTTTTTTTTTTTTTTTTTTTTTTTTCCATAGTCCAAAGAATCATTGTATCCTTGTCGACAATCAGCTGATGTTCAAGAATTGGAAAAGTGACGGTGTATTACCAGTACATATTCAAAATGAGATGTACAGTACATATGAATGAGAAAAAGTACAGTTGTATTATTAGTACATATGAGAGGAGAGAAAAGTACAGTTGTATTATTAGTACATAGGAGATAGAAAAGTACAATTATATTATTAGTATATATGAGTAGTACAGCTGTATTATTAGATTTGAGACGAGAGAAAAGTACAGTATTATTAGTAACATTGAATGAACGAGAAAAGTACAGTTATATATTATAGTACATCTGAGATGAGAGAAAGAAAAGTATTAATAGTAATCTAATAGTACAATAATGAGATGAGAGGAAAAGTACAGCTTGTATATTAGTAGTACATATGAGATGAGAGAAAAGTACAGGTATTATTAGTACATATGAGATGAAGAAAAGTACAGCTGTATTATAGTACATGTGAGATGAGAGAAAAGTACAGTTGAGTACATATGAGATGAGAGAAAAGTACAGCTGTATTATTAGTACATATGAGATTGAGAAAATACAGCTGTATCATTAAGTACATAATGAGAGAAAAGTAGTACAGCTGTATTATTAGTACATATGAATGAGAGAAAAGTACAGCTTATTAATAGTACATATTGAGACGATGAGAAAAAAGTACAGTTGTATTATTAGTACAAATGAGATGAGAGAATACTTCGTAACATAATATATACTGACACCTACTCAGGAGGAGAATTACCGTAGCAGTATTATTGCAGATGAGATGACTATTTCGTCTTGTCACCTAATGCTTAAATGTCGGAATGACTTTAAAGTTAGATGACGCTGAAGCAAATGAAACTCGTGTGCAAGTTGGGGGACATTTTTGCTTCCTTGCCAGCCTAAGAGAAAAAGAATGGAAAAGAAAATGACAAAAAAACAAATAAACGCTTTTAGTGAATCGTGAAATAGGACGGCGATGACAATAACAGTAACAACAATAACAGTAACATAAACATTAACAACAATAACAGCAACAGCAACAACAATATTAACAATAATAGTAACAACAGCAGCGGCAGCGACAATAACAACAAGAACAAGACAATTAGAACAAGAACAAGAAGAATAGCAATAAAAAAGGATTACTGAAAAAAACACAACAATAACAACAGCTAGAACAAAAAAGAATGCGAGGGACATTGCCCTGTTTGTGGTTTGCTAAATTACATTTTTCTAAAAAGTCTCGTTTATAAAAAAGCGCTTATGATGAAGACGTGTTAACAGGCCTGTGGCTTTCAAAAAACTACCTTTGCCTTTTTTCCTCTTTCTAATAATACAAAATAATTATATTCAGTCTGAAACGCTGCTAGACAGACTTACACTTCTATATCCAAGTCTTAATATAATTATAAATCTAAGTACATGTGGATTTCAATGTAAACAAAGCTTACGCCATCATTGTGTTTCTTGTCCATATTTCTGCAGATTTTCTGTACTTGACCTTCAAATCAGCCTCGGATATTTCTCTCTTCTGTTTCTCAAAGACACTGATCTACCACCTGATTCCTCGTCCGCTTACAGAGCCCCACGAAGGACAGTTATATGTGAGGTTGAAGCCATGTTTTAGTTAGGGGACCCAGGAGGACGCCCTTGTAGTTGCGAATGCTAAATCGGTCCTCTGTAGTCCCCGGTGGAAAGGAAGAGGTAGGTCGCTGTAGTGTACTAGAGGGAGGATTGCCTATTCCGAGTTCTTTATTGCAAATCCGGTTGTGTTGATGATTGTGTCCCGTGTTAATAATCTGTTATATCTGTGAGTAAAAGTGAGT